ACGCGTTCGCGCAACCATGCACACACACACACACACACACGCGCGCGCGCGCACAAACTCAAGCATGCATACACACACACACACATGCATGCGCGCACGCACAAAAGCAACCATGTATACACACATACACACACGCACACGCGCACGCACAAACGCAAGCATGCACACACACGCAAGCGCGCACGCACAAACGCAAGCATGCACACACACACACACACATACACACACACGCGCGAGCGCGCACAAAGACAAACATGCACACACACACACACACATACACGCACACGCGCACGTGCGCGCACAAACGCAAACACACACACACACAATACCAATGCACGGGCAAATATGTATATATATATATATTTTTTTAAGTTTCTTTTTTTTTAGCTTTTTTTTTTTTTTTTTTTTTACTTTTTAGCTTTATTTATTTATTTATTTATTTATTTATTTATTACTTTTTTGTTATTTTTTTCTACATTTTTATGTTTTATTTTTTTCTTTTTTTTGTTATTATATAAAAAAAACAGAAAATGGCGCCTGGCGGCGCCAGAAGATTTCCTTCCGAAAGCCAGGCTTCGCCTCCAAGGGCTGCTCACTGGCAGAGGCGCAGCATCTCGCCCAGCGCCTCCACGATCTCCTCCAGCGTGGGGCGCTGGTCGTGCTCGGGGCGCTGCGCTCGCTCCGCCAGCGCCTGCAGGGCCGCCAGCGGCGCCTTCATGCTCTCCGCCACGAACTGCAGCATCACGCCCACGCCCAGCACGTCGCACTACTCCGTCAGCGGCGTGCCTTGGTGCACGCACGCGCAGTACCACGACTGCCGCCCTTTGCTGCTCTCGGGATGGCACTGGCCCACGGGAAGTGCCATCCCGAAGTCGATGATGTGCACCGACGGCGCTCCTGCTGCGCCGCGCAGCTGCACCATCACGTTGGTGGGCTTCAGGTCGCAGTGCACGATGCCGGCGGCGTGCACGGCCGCCACGGCCTCCGCCAGCTTCACGCTCAGCTGCAGGAGCTGCTTGTGGCTGCGCTGCGCACTCAGCACGTCGGCCAGGCACTCCTTGCCCAGGTACGTCATCAGGAGGCACGACGGATCCTCACTGTACGCCAAGGCCATGGGCGCTCCCCCCGCGCCCTGCAGCCGCCTCAGCATCTCCATCTCGTGCTCGAACACCACCTTGGAGCCGGGGGCGGCCAGCTTGAGGGCGCACTCCTTGCCCTTGTAGCTCACGCGCACCACGCGCCCGTACGTGCCCTTCCCGAGGCGCACCTCCTTCCCCTTCTGCAGGAACTTGCACTCCTTGCTCGAAAGCTTGGCCACCTACATCCTGTCGCTGTTGGCCAAGTCTGCGCCCAAAAGCTAAAAGGCTTCCGCTCGGCTTGGACTCCTTATGCTGAGCTGTCTGCGTGAGTTGTTGCTCTGATGCGGCTAGCCTCAGTTGTGGCGATCTGAGCGGGAATTATCGGGTCATCAGCTTATGGTAAAGAAGTTGTCACTGAACGAAAGAGCCGCGCAATGCGAAAAATCGAGCAGGAATTGTATTTCTGCGATATTTTCGTCACATCTAACTTTTTGGCTGTTAATATTTTGTTGATATATGTTGTTATACTGTTTTATTAATAAAAAAAAAGCCAAAAAAAAGAAAAGAAAAGAAAAGAAAAGAAAAGAGAAAAACTGATTAATGGGAAATGCGATTTCTTGTCGACATTGTGCGCCACGTCGCCATTTTTTTTTCTATTTCACGACACGAGTCATCTCACATAGTCGAAAAATAAAGATTAATTCCATGTCATGCTTATAAAAGCCAAATAAATGCCAATATATCGCACAACAAATTTGATTTCAATTGTCTTTTTACCAGCCCTTTTGAAGGAGAGCGCGATAAATTGACGAAAGTCCCTTTCATTATCACCATAGCAGGGGAGAGACGCCCACGACAAGGGATACTGCCCACGCCCACACAAGTCCTGTTCGAGAAAAAAAAAAAATCTCGTGTGTGGGAAGCAACTTGTAATTCACCTAAACATCCACGCTATGTACAATGTTTGCAATATTGTTATCTTCTCTAACTGGGCTGTTTTTTTTTTTAATAATTTTGTTCTATTCAGCCTTGTCCCATCATCTCATGCTTTAATCAGGTATTCAATCTCATTTTATTTTATTACTACAAGTCTTTTAGGGTCAGTCTTTCTAAACGAATTCTAAGGCTGACGAGCATTAACCCGACAAGAAGTGAAATTCCAGCGAAAGATAAATTTGTGTGCATTTGTGAGTGCATGTTTGTGTAAATTTGAATCGTCTGAGGAGAGAGAGACCTAGAAGCGGTTTGAGCCTTCTTTAACATCACGAGATTTATGAATGTTTTCTCCCCGTAAGCTATGTTTTTTTTTTCAACAGCCATTCATTCCACTGCAGGACATAGGCCTCTCTCAATTCAATATTGAGAGGTTATATGGCAGTGTCACCCTTACCTGATTGAATGCCCTTCCTAATCAACCGCGTTTCGGCGCGCTAACACTTGTTTATGATAAGGATTTAAGCGTATGTGCGTGTATGGGCGAATGTGTGCTTGCCATGTGTTTGTGTGAGACAGGTATATGGTACATACCAGTCAAAATAACTTACAATAAAAATGACAATACAAAATGGCTCCTTAGCAGACAGTAACCCCAAAGTACTCCACGGACTTTTACTACTGAAAACGCGCAAAATTGTTGTTTATTGAAGTGAGCTTTTTCAAATGTATACCGTTTTCTTCGTAAATAAAAAGTTAAGAACATGAATTACCGAAGCCTGTTCCTTCAGGTAAACCAAGATGGCGGAAATGTAAAGAACTTGTCTTTGCCTGTTCTTACCTAGATTGCTGAATTTTAAAGATAGAGATAGAGATAGAGATAGGTAGAGTGAGATAGATAGATATATAGATAGGCAGAGATAGATAGATATAGCTACAGCTAGAGAGAGAGAGAGAGAGAGAGAGAGAGGCAGATAGATAGATAGATAGAGGGAGAGAAAGAGAGAGAGAGAGAGAAATAGAGACATATTTATAGATCTATAGAGAAAGAGAGGGGGGTAGAGGGAGAGAAAGTGTGCTTAAACATTACGATTGTTTTATCACAGGACCCATATTATGTTTACCATTATGATTACTGCGAAGTGTGGTCTATGATCCAGAGGAGAGGGCGACACACTTCAGTTGCACACGCGCTTGACTTTTATTAGCACCACGTTTTCTTCTGCGCGCGACTACTTTAGTTATCCCGGTGCCCGTTTTCTATTTTTTTCCCTATTACTTGTCTGTATTACTGCCTTACGTTATTTTTTACCAGTTCTGCTTTCGTTTAATACATTTAATTTTTTTTTTTTGTCTCTTGATTTATCATCGAGATTTGAATGTAGAATTAACTTATTTCGCGGCGTTTGTGGTATGTCCTTTTTATTACATATTCTATTTCAACGGTTCTTTTATGGAGTTTGATGCTTATTTTATCGTTTTATTTAACTGTTTTGTATTTCTAATTATTACGCATGAACATATACATATACACACGCACACACACACACACACACACACACTCGTGCACACACACACATACTCATACGCACGCACGCACAAACGCAACCATGCACACACACACACACGCACGCACGCGCCCGCGCGCACAAAGGCAAACATGTATACACACATACACACGCACGCACGCGCGCGCGCGCACAAAAGCAACCATTTATACACACACGCGCGCGCGCGCGAGCGCACAAACGCAACCATGCACACAAACACACACACGCACGTGCGCGCGCACAAACGCAACCAGGCACACACACACACACACACACATACGCACAAACGCAACCATGGACACACACGCACGCGCGCACGCACAAACGCAAACATGCATACACATGCACGCGCGCGTTCACAAACACAACAATGCTCACACACACACACACACACGCGCGCGCGCGAGCACACAAACGCAACCATGCACACACACACAAACACACGCACACGCGCACGCGAGTGCACAAACGAAACCATGCACACACACACACGCGCTCGCGCGCGAGCGCAAAAACGCATCAATGCACACACACACACATGCACGCACGTACGCGCACACAAACGCAACCATACACACACACACACGCGTTCGCGCGCGAGCGCAACCATGCACACACACACACACACGCGCGCGCGCGCACAAACTCAAGCATGCTTACACACACACACACACACACACGCATGCGCGCACGCACAAACGCAAGCATGCACACACACACACACACACACGCACGCGCGCGCACGCACAAACGCAAGCATGCACACACACACACATACACACACACGCGCGAGCGCGCACAAAGACAAACATGGACACACACACACACACACACACACACACGCACACGCACACGTGCGCGCACAAACGCAACCACACACACACGCACACACACAATACCAATGCACGGGCAAATATGTATATATATATATTTTTTTTCATTTTTAATTTTTTTTTAGCTTTTTTTTTTTTTTTTTTTTTTTTTTTTTTTTGCTTTTTTCTTTTTTATGTTTTTTTTTTTTTTCTTTTTTTTTTTTTTTTTTTTTTTTTTTTTGCTTTTTTCTTCTTTATGTTTCTTTTTCTTTTTTATTTATTTATTTTTTTTTTTTTACTTTTTAGCTTTTTTTTGTGTATATTTTTTTTACTTTTTTGTTATTTTTTTCTACATTTTTATGTTTCATTTTTTTGTTATTATAAAAAAAAAGAAAAAAAGAAAATGGCAGAAGATTTCCTTCCGAAAGCCAGGCTTCGCCTCCAAGGGCTGCTCACTGGCAGAGGCGCAGCATCTCGCCCAGCGCCTCCACGATCTCCTCCAGCGTGGGGCGCTGGTCGTGCTCGGGGCGCTGCGCTCGCTCCGCCAGCGCCTGCAGGGCCGCCAGCGGCGCCTTCATGCTCTCCGCCACGAACTGCAGCATCACGCCCACGCCCAGCACGTCGCACTACTCCGTCAGCGGCGTGCCTTGGTGCACGCACGCGCAGTACCACGACTGCCGCCCTTTGCTGCTCTCGGGATGGCACTGGCCCACGGGAAGTGCCATCCCGAAGTCGATGATGTGCACCGACGGCGCTCCTGCTGCGCCGCGCAGCTGCACCATCACGTTGGTGGGCTTCAGGTCGCAGTGCACGATGCCGGCGGCGTGCACGGCCGCCACGGCCTCCGCCAGCTTCACGCTCAGCTGCAGGAGCTGCTTGTGGCTGCGCTGCGCACTCAGCACGTCGGCCAGGCACTCCTTGCCCAGGTACGTCATCAGGAGGCACGACGGATCCTCACTGTACGCCAAGGCCATGGGCGCTCCCCCCGCGCCCTGCAGCCGCCTCAGCATCTCCATCTCGTGCTCGAACACCACCTTGGAGCCGGGGGCGGCCAGCTTGAGGGCGCACTCCTTGCCCTTGTAGCTCACGCGCACCACGCGCCCGTACGTGCCCTTCCCGAGGCGCACCTCCTTCCCCTTCTGCAGGAACTTGCACTCCTTGCTCGAAAGCTTGGCCACCTACATCCTGTCGCTGTTGGCCAAGTCTGCGCTCAAAAGCTAAAAGGCTTCCGCTCGGCTTGGCTTCCTTATGCTGAGCTGTCTGCGTGAGTTGTTGCTCTGATGCGGCTAGCCTCAGTTGTGGCGATCTGAGCGGGAATTCTCGGATCATCAACTTTTGGTAAAGAAGTTGTCACAGAACAAAAGAGCCGCGCAATGCGAAAAATGGAGCAGGAATTGTATTTCTGCGATATTTTCGTCACATCTAACTTTTTGGCTGTTAATATTTTGTTGATATATGTTGTTATACTGTTTTATTAATCAAAAAGAAGCAAAAAAAGAAAAAAAAGAAAAAAAAAAAGAAAAGAGAGAAAAACACTGATTAATGGGAAATGCGATTTCTTGTCGACATTGTGCGCCGCGTCGCCATTTTTTTTTATTTCACGACACGAGTCATCTCACATAGTCGAAAAATAAAGATTAATTCCATGTCATGCTTATAAAACCCAAATAAATGTCAATATATCGCACAACAAATTTGATTTCAATTGTCTTTTTACCAGCCCTTTTGAAGGAGAGCGCGATGAATTGAGATAAGTCCCTTTCATTACCACCATGGCAGGGGAGGAATACTGCCCACGCCCACACACGCCCTGTTCGAGAATAAAAAAAAAAAAAAAATCTCATGTGTGGTAAGTAACTCGTAATTCACCTAAACATCCATGCTATTTACAATGTTTGCAATGTTGTTATCTTCTATGACTCTTTTTTAATAATTTGTTCTATTTAGCCTTGTCCCTTCATCTCATGTTTTAATCAGGTATTTAATCTCATTTTATTTCATTACTATTCCTTAACATCTCGTGATTTGTGCATATTTTCTCCCCGTAAGCTATGTTTGTGATGAGGATTTGAGCGTATGTGCGTGTATGTGCGTGTATGGGCGTGTATGGGCGTGTATGGGCGAATGTGTACTTATCATGTGTGTGTGAGACATACCACTCAAACTAAACTTACAATAAAAAATGACAATACAAAATGGTTCCTTAACAGACAGTAACCCCAAAGTACTCCGTGGACTTTTACTACTGAAAACGCGCAATTTTTTTTTTTTTTTTAATTGAAGTTTATGTTCCCGATGAGCTTTTTCAAATGTTTACCGTTTTCTTCGTAAATAAAAAGTTAAGAACATGAACGGCCGAGGGCTGTTCCTTCAGATAAACCAAGATGGCGGAAATGTAAACAACTTGTCTTTGCCTGTTCCTACCTATTTGCTGAATTTTAGAGTTAGAGATTGAGATAGCGATAGATCGAGATAGATAAAGCGAGATAGAGGGATAGATAGATAGATAGATAGATAGATAGAGAGCTAGAGATAGAGAGAGATAGACAGAGATAGATTGATATAGGTAGATAGAGCGAGCGAGCGAGCGAGCAAGAAAGAGAGAGACAGAGAGAGAGAGAGAAAGAGAAGGACATAGTGAGAAAGAGAAAGAGGGAGAGAGAGGAGAGAGAGAGAGAGAGAGAGAGAGAGAGAGAGAGAGAGAGAGAGAGAGAGAGAAAGAGAAAGAGAGAGAGGGGGCGAGAGAGATAAATAGCTAGATAAATAAATAGATATATAGATAGAGAAAGAGAGGGCGAGAGAGATAAATAGCTAGATAGATAGACAGAGAATGGATAGAGAAAGAGAGAGAGATAGAGAGAAAGAGAGAGAGAGAGAGAGAGAGAGAGAGAGAGAGAGAGAGAGAGAGAGAGAGAGAGGGCGAGAGAGATAAATAGCTAGATAAATAAATAGATAGATAGATAGAAAGAGAGAGGGCGAGAGAGATAAATAACTAGATAGATAGACAGAGAAAGAGAAAAAGAGATAGAGAGATAGATAGATATATAGAGAGAGATAGATACAGAGAAAGAGAGAGAGAGAGGGAGAGCGAGATAGATAGATAGAGAGAGAGAGAGAGGAAGAGAAAGAGAGAGAGAGAGAGAGAGAAATAAAGACAGACAGATATTTATAGATATATAGAGAGGGAGTAGAGGGAGAGAAAGAGAGAGAGAGAGAAATAAAGACAGATAGATATTTATAGATATATAGAGAGGGAGTAGAGGGAGAGAAAGAGAAAGAGAGAGAAATAGAGACACAGCTATGAATAAATCTATAGAGAAAGAAAGGGGGGTAGAGGGAGAGAAAGTGTGCTTAAACATTACGATTGTTTTATCACAGGACCCATATTATGTTTACCATCATGATTACTGCGAAGTGTGGTCTATGATCCAGAGGAGAGGGCGACACACTTCAGTTGCTCACTCGTGCTTGACTTTCATTGGCACAACTTTTACCAGTTCTGCTTTCGTTTAATATGTTTAATTTATTTTCTAAGTTTCTTGATTTATCATCGAGATCTTAATGTAGAATTAACTTATTTCGCGGTGTCAGTGACATGACATATCAATTTCTGTTATGTCTTTTTTATAACATATTTTTTTTTAACGCTTCTTTTATGGAGTTTGACGCTTGTCTTATTGTCTTATTTAACTGTTTTGTATTTTTGATTATTACTTGAGTCTTTCTTGTCCTGTCCTTTATTTAAATCTTGTTATGTGTCCTCATGCATTTTATTGCCTAATGATAATGTATTTTATTTGAATTGT